AATACAGTTGTAATTCATTCTATATAAAATAAATTATAAGCGTATACAACAAAACACAAGAACGATTGCTCTCATTATTAAAATATATAAAGAAATCTCAAACGAGTATACCATTTGACTATGCGAGAGTATTCAATGTTCAGTTGCATCCAAACTTAGCCCTTCCTTACTTTTTATACTCTCGCAACCTGTTGCTACAGAGTATAATAGTTTTGTTCACCTAACGGTGGTTTATATCACCTAAAACTAATCGAGTTAGATATAGGGTTATATTATATATATATATAAATGATCAGGATGAAGAGACGAGTTGAAATCCGGGTGACTGTCTGTCCGTCAGTCCGTCTGTGCAAGCTGTAACTTGAGTAAAAATTGAGATATCTTTATGAAACTTGGTACACATGTTTCTTGATACCGTAAGACGGTTGGTGTTGCAGATGGGCGTAATCCACTGCCACCCCCACAAAACGCCATTAATCAAAAACAAATAAATTGCCATAACTAAGCTCCACAACAAGATACAAGACTCTTATTTGGTATACAGGATCACATTAGAGAGGGACATCTTCAGTTTCAATTTTTTTTAAAGTGGGCGTGGTTCCGCCCCTAATAGGTTTAATGTACATATCTCCTATACCACTGAAGCCATAATAACAAAATTCACTAAGAACAAATGCTTTTATCACGTCTATCTACGGTGTGAAAATGGGTGAAATCGAGTGACAACCCCGCCCTTTCCCCATATAACGGTACTGTTAAAAATTACTAAAAGCGCGATAAATCAATCACTAAACACGCCAAAGACATTAAATTTTATCTCAGAGATGGTATGAGATTACTTTATAGGAACCGCGTTCAAAATTAGACAGTGGGCGTGACACCGCCCACTTTTAGGTGAAACCCCATATCTTGGGATCTGCTTAACCGATTTCAACTAAATTCGGAACATTATGTTCTTCTCATATCTGGGATTACAGCCACGCCTATAAACTTTGCGTGAATAATACGTTTAAAGTATGCCACTTTGTGACCAAAAATTGTTTTAATCGAATCAACACTGTTCAAGCCCCTAGGTACTGAATATGTGGACCCCAGTGCTTAAAGCTGACTTTTTACCGAAAATATCGGTCAACATAGAACAAAGCGGCAAGATCTACAAAGAAATCTAAAACGAGTATACCATTTGACTTTGCGAGAGTATAAAATGTTCGGTTACATCCGAACTTAGCCCTTCCGTACTTGTTACAGTTTGTTTTTGTAGCACGATTCGTGAGCCACCCTGTATATAAATAAATAATTATTATTATTAAACCGAAATTAAACGAAAACTTATAACGTGTCATAACTATCACTTAATTAAGGTACAAAACTGTAATTTGGTACAGGGGATCGCAGTAGTGAGAGGGACTTGCGGGTTAAACAAACTTGCTAAGAAAAAGTCCTTTTAGCATTTCTTTCTACACCGTAAAAATGGGTTATGTTAAAAATGTCTTAAAATGCGATAACTTACCGAATAAATGAGCCAAAAGCATTAAATTTCACAACCAGGATGACAGGTAAGGCCTTTATAGGAGCCGGTGTAAAATTATGCATTGGGCGTGGCACCTCCCACTTTTAGGTGAAATCCTATATCTCAGGACCTACTTGGCCGATTACAACCAAACTTGGTGTGTACTACGCCTACTTTCCATATAACAAAATTTTAAATTCCATCTGATTTTTTCACTTTACAGTATTCAAATCAAACATCAATTAGGTTATTGGAGTAAAACTTTGTACAAATATTATTCACGTAACGTGGGCATCATGCAATGTAAAGAAATGTACGCCTACAGATACGTTTATTTACAATGCGCAAACGACTTTGCATATCATTTTAAGATATTCTGCATGTATTTGGTATCAAAGCATATAAGTATATATAAACAAATTTACTTATTTCATGATGAATTTCATTAAATCTATTGAAATATATGTATAAGAAAGTACATGTTTTATAAATAAAAAATTTACTATATATTTTTTGCTTTGGTAATTTAAAGTCTTGATAACATCTGAAACATTATTTAACACAATTATATATAATTATGCGTGTATGTAAACAAATATCAAAGAACGCATAATATTTGTAAATTTGTCTACATGCAACATACTTGTATGTATGTAACAGCTTTGTTCAAATCATCGTAAATATGTATGTTTATATATGAGCATGCATACATATTGACGCAAATCTTTGGGAACCATAGAAAAATATTTTAGAATTTTGAAATATTTGAAATCGAACAAAAGCTTTGTTGCCACTTCAGCCACTTTTTTCTATGTTTTGTGGGTTTGCGGGGTTGTGACTTTTCCCTTCTAGAAATAACATCAGAAAGTTGTTCAATTTATGATTTTTAGCTTTTGCTATCGTAGCGAAAAGACGCTTGCAGGCAAAAGCATGCTGGGGGGATGTGAGGGTGTCTGTTAAATGAAGCGAGATTGCCTGTTGAAAGTACGCTTGCGTTCATGAATGAAAATGTTGTTGTTGTGTGATTTACTATAAATTTGGGCTGCGGCTATTTGACTGACATATTGACTTGTGACAATTGTTGTTTTTGTAGAACAGTATATGTAGTTTTTGCGGATGACATATTTACATGTGTACGCACAAACATAAGTAGGTTGTTTTGTGTATGCATTATTTGTTCGGTATTTTTATATATACATACATGTATTATATATGTGTGTACATATAAATTAATGCGCGCACATATAGTGTATTGAAAAGTGATAAAATCATGATTTTAATTTCTGAATGCGTACATTCAAATACATAAGGACATACATATGACTATATAAGATTAATATGATAAAAGATGTACATATGTACATATAAGTTGTAATAAATTTAATATCAATTAGTAACAATTATAGTACAAATTATTTATTAGGAAAGTATATTAAGTAAAAACTAAATAAAATCATTAAATTCCCAAATTGACTTTATATAATATTTTGAAAATTACATAATTTAATTAGAGTTTTATTAATTTTGCATGCATGCCTAAATTTCGCATAATGAAATTCATATCAATAAATATGACTGTATATTAACATATGAAAATATAAGCAAACTTCTGAGCAAAATTTTCATTCATTCAATGCTCAGCTCTGTTCACGCGCCACTATTAAAATTTCTCCTTCCGAGCTAGCTGAGGTGAAATCCACTCATCGAATCTTGTTAGAGTTTGACAATTCACACGCTGGTCCGCAATTGAACCTTGTCTATGATATACGTTCTATGCTTTATGTACCTCTGTATTACAAAGCATTTTATTGATTTTAGATGTGAAACATCTATAGCCGCACGTAAAACCGATTTCTGGCGTGGCGACGCATGCCGTGGCGACGCGTTTTTTTAAGTAGCATGTTAGACGCGTCGTCACGATATGGTATATATATACAGTCTATATGCAGTAGTGTGTACGGTGTTGCGGCGCGTCGCCATGCGCAATCGACTGTGTAATTCTCTCCCACTCGATCCGGCGTTAAGCCATCTCTCTCGCTACACTAAGCTCGGATACCTATAGTGTATCCTCCGTAGTGTATACGGTGTTGTTTACTACAGTACACATAACCTGTGTTTTACTTGAAAATAAATTATTTTTCTGATAATAAAATGTCTGACCGTGAGAGACCGTAATTTAAAGAGTGAAAGTGATCAGCCTCCTGCAAAGAAAACAAAATTACACTATGACACACTATCAAGTCATCAGTAAGTTAATTATATTTATATAATTAAAGTATGCATTTATCTGTGCATCAAGCACGCGTATATTTGGTGTGTTTTAAGCGCCAGTAAATATAAAATCTACTCTCTTGGTAGATTAAAATTCACATTAATTTGATTGGATATAATGTTTTTAAATTAATTATTAATTTTAATTTCATTCTTATTGAAATTAAAGCATTAAAACAATTGCTTAGAGAATAAATTTATTAAGACTGACAGAATTGTATTTCAAAATCAGCTGATGGCGTGCAGCGCACGAATCTTTTATCGAGGAAGTCCACATGCGCATATTCTTTTATGGCTAATGCTCCCACAGATATTTTTGGAGAAGAGCAAACACAAACAATAGAAATGACATGCGGAATACTATTCAGATGAGTAGTCAAGAAGCTGCTTGGTATCTTTTAAGGTTACCAATGTCTAAATCGTCAGTAGCGGTTCAGTATATTAACACTTGTTGGCCTATTGAACGGCAGAGGATAAGAAAAACACAAAAACAAATTTATGAACTTGATGACGACTCTACTAATATTTGGAAGGAAGATTGGCATGACAAGTATCAAAAACGGCCAGAAGAATTGGAAGGAATTTCTTTAGCCCAATTTGTTTCGAACTATACTAAAAATGGAATGGGAAAGTACATCAGAAAGAAGCAGCCTCAAGTTATTCGTTATAGAAATTATGACATGACTCAGGATTACAACGAGTACAGAAGAGTGAAGACACAGAAATATAAGCAGATATGAAATTCACAACTATATATGATGAACACGAAAACGAAATTTTAGAAAAAAATAGTAATTTTAGTCAAATATTGATATTCAAAAGACAAGTGATATATGCCGACAATTATGTCATGAAGATGAGCTAATAGATGACGAATCAGAAGCTCAAGACATTGCTACAAGATTTCCAGAGCCAAACCCCTTTGAAGAATTGTACAGAAATGCGAATGCTGCGGTTAATGAAGATTTACGTATAGCTACGCTTAAAAACTTGAGAGCCATAGCCAAAAGAAGAGAAAATATCATGAGTAATGATCGTTTTTGCGAGCTCATGAGAAGCGCTAATGAAAAACAGAAAGGGTTCTGCAATTCTTACATTACGTGTGTTTTGGCTGGTAAAGCTGCAGTAGCTATCAACGCAATTACTGTCCATACCGCATTGAAAATATCATTGTCAAAACTAATTCCGTTGTCAATAGAAACAGCACAACAATATCGATGCTTATTTAAATATGTCAAAGTTTTAATAATTGACGAAATCAGTATGATTGGTGCCGAGCTTTTGAACCAAATAGAAATATTAATTTTGGTGTTCTAGAAATTATTTTTATTGGAGATTTGCGACAATTACCTCCAGTCCGTGTAACTCCAACAACGGATGATTGGACCCTTACAAATGTTTGCTTCTATTTTTACAAAAATTGGCAGTGGTGTTATTTTAAATGATGATGAATTTGCCGTTATCGAGTCTAGATTTTTTACGAAGGAAGAAGCCCTGCGCCTGTGTCCAAGTGGTGTACGATTATTTCATGATAATGCATCAGTTAACGCATATAACGTACTAGCTTTACAAACTGAAAGTACAATAGATTCAATTTCAATGGACATTATTTCTGGTTGTACTAATCGTGAGCAAGAAACAAACATGAGACAAAAATTACACAAGTTGTCAGTGATTGATACTGGAGGTTTGCCATACGAAATCATTTTTGTTATTGAAAAACTTTATATTATTACAACTAACATAGACGTGATTAACGGTTTAGCTAACGACGCCGTTGGAAAGCTAGTTCAAAATGATGAAAATCAAGTAACTCGCATATGGCTTGTTTTTCTAGATAAAACACTGGTAAAGTGACTAGAAGAAAAGCCGCTGCCTTTTTTGCCGAACATAATATCGATAGACGTGCAGTACCTATCGTACGTCGAACTTCAAGTATACCACCATTAATAATAAAACCATTGTGGGAAAAAGAAATAATATTCCATTGATATCAATGTGTGTTATGACTATTCATAAGTCTCAAGGAGGTCTACATAACAAGGTGGTCTATGAGTATAGTAAAAGTCATTCTATTCCCTTACTTTACGTAGCTTTAACACGAGTAACAAGTCTTGAAGGGTTGTTTATATGTAACAGGGTTGTTTATATAATATGAACAAAGATTTTATCATGGAAGAAGAGTACATCCATCAGTTTCAAGTTTACAGCAAGAATTCAAAAGATTATCTCTAAACAAGCTTACTACATCGCAAGGACTTATCATTGAATTTATAAACTCCAGAAATAGATTAGCCATTTATTCTTTAAACTGCCAAATTCTCAGAAAACATACTACTGATTTACAAGGTTCTATATGTCAAAGGCGTAACTTTTTATTACTAACTGAAACATGGCTTCCTGCAGATGTCAGTTGACTTACCTAATTTTCACTGTATAGCTAAATTTAAGAGACAAAGCCGGTGGAGTTGCCATTTATAAAAACAACAAAAATTCACATATTACTGCATTCAACATGGATTTAGTAATTCAAAATGCTACAGAAGTTATTGTCTCCCAAACATCTATTGGAGATATGTGTGATTCACATGTTAAACTAGAAGGTGGAAGTCAATTGATGATGATTGTTGCGTACATTTCTCCTAATAAAAAGTAAATGATATCATTTCATTTTTACACGAGAGATTATTTCCGTATAGTCACAGAGGTTCAATAATTTTCAAAACCAATAAAGACAAACTACCATTGAGTTTTCAATGTAAATTTTGCAAAAGATGAATCAACGCCATTAATTTCGTTTCTCCAAGAAGAATTTCAATTGCAAATTAATAACAATCCAAGAGAACCTACCACTAGATACGAAACAACAATAGATGCTGTATTTATTAGATATCTTGATAATGTTATGTCCAATAATTGTCTAACATACTTCAGTTACCATCGACCAATTGTCACAGTAATACTGTTCTCAGAGGCAACCGAATTAAGTAGTCACGATTTGAAATAAATTCGTAAATTTTTGTATTTAATGAAAATAAATGTTTATTCAATAAATAGTCAACGTTATCTGGAAAAAATCTTAATATATTATTTTATCATTATGACATATTTAGTTCCTATCACAATCTGTTCTTTTCTGCATATTACTTTTACAAAATAATGTCGATGTTTCACATCTGACAGGCGTCCCGTGAAGGCTCACATTTTTCTTTTTTTTTATACTCTCGCAACCTGTTGCTACAGAGTATAATAGTTTTGTTCCCCTAACCGTTGTTTGTATCACCTAAAATTAATCGAGTTAGATATAGGTTACATATATAGGTATAAATGATCAGGATGAAGAGACGAGTTGAAATCCGGGTGACTGTCTGTCAGTCCGTCCGTCTGTCCGTCCGTGCAAGCTGTAACTTGAGTAAAAATTGAGATATCTTTATGAAACCTGGTAGACATGTTTCTTAGTACCGTGAGACGGTTGGTATTGCAGATGGGCGTAATCGGACCACTGCCACGCCCACAAAACGCCATTAATCAAAAACAAATAAATTGCCATAACTAAGCTTCGCAATAAGATACAAGACTGTTATTTGGTACACAGGATCACATTAGGGAGGGGCATCTGCAGTTAAAATTTTTGTTTTAAAAGTGGGCGTGGTCCCGCCTCTAATAGGTTTAATGTGCATATCTCCTAAACCGCTAATGCTATAATAAAAAAATACACTGGAAGCAAATGTTTTTAGCACTTCTACGAAAATAGTTGAAATCGGGTGGCAACTCCGCCCACTCCCCATATAACGGTACTGTTAAAAATTACTAAAAGCTCGATAAATCAAGCACTAAACACGCCAGAGACATTAAATTTTATCTCTGGGATGGTATGAGATGACTTTATAGGAACCGCGTTCAAAATTAGACAATGGGCGTGGCACAGCCCACTTTTAGGTGAAAACCCATATCTTGGGATCTGCTTAACCGATTTCAACCAAATTCAGTGCATAACGCTCTTTTCATATTTCTATGTTATATTGCGAAAATAGGCTAAATCGGACTACAACCACGCCTATTTCCCATATAACACCATTTTCAATTCCATCTGATTCTTTCACTTTCCACTATGCATATCAAGCAACAATGATTATATCGGGGTAAAACTTTGCGCGAATAATACGTTTAATGTATGCCACCTTGTGACCAAAAATTGTCTAAATCGAACCAAAACTGTTCAAGCCCCTAAATACTAAATATGTGGACCCCAGTACCTATAGTTGACCTTCTACCGAAAATATCAGCCAATCCACAAAGAAATCTCAAACGAGTATACCATTTGACTTTGCGAGAGTATAAAATGTTCGGTTGCATCCGAACCTAGCCCTTCCTTACTTGTTTCTTTTTAGTTTCGACAATAGCGAGAGCCAAAGAATTGGTGATTACTTAACATTAACTAAGCATTAACTTGTTTTGAATCACAAGCTCGAATCCACTAAATAATGTTGAACTGTTGACTATATCCAATTACACGAACAAAATGAATATAATATAAAAAAATGTTAATATAACTCATTCATAGGTTTCGCTTGTGTGTGTCACCAGAACGTCGAAGGTAAACGTATACCATACGGTTTCTGTAAGCGCACATTACTGCAGGTTTAACACCTTAGGAGTTCTACTTTCATGCTATTGGTAGTCGTGAAGGTCTTATCTGCTGTAAAAACTGGAGACACCGGTTATATTCATCATCATCTTATAAAGGCTATGAAAAGAGGTTTAAATTCGGTTGGTCCAATAAAAGTTATATGCGTAAAGTGTTCATCGATGATGATCAAAGAATTGAGCGAGAAATGCATTTCCCGAGCTAGAAATCGAGTGGGATCAATTATGCCCCGATATGATCGTGAAGCGTTGCGTAAGATTTTTCCCAATGGTGATTCCAAGATAGGTTGAATTATTTTCTGCTTTAATATTGGAAAGACTTATTACTTGGATTTTCTTGCCTCCTCTAGCTTTCATTGCCCTGAAATTTGTAGCGCATTATTTGTAATGTGCAAAAGATTTTCCATATCAATAATCATACACAATGACGATGCAGCGCTGAGTCATTGTGGTGGGCAACGATCATCTTTTAAAACAGGTCAATATGTGAACGTTACACTGCTGTTTCAATATTTGGTGCGCTCCACGCTTTCGGTTGTCGGCCAAGGCGTTCGAATAGTTACTTGGTGAGATTGAATTGTTAACAAATGCTAGATTTATCAATCAACTAGTAGAGGGATCCTGAATACATGTAAGTAAATTATATAACTCTTCTAGATGTTATATATAATTTAGGCCATATCTATAATTGAGGCATTATAATATATAATATTAATATTATAAATAATTTAATCATAACTAGCCAATATTGTATATATACTTTATGTTCGCGCCTACCTGGCATCACCTTTAAAAATATATGTTTAATGAGCAATGAATTCGCTTTTGCGTAGCGCAACAAGAGGTTGAGCTGATATGTGGGGACGAGAATGCATACAAGGTAAAGAGTGGTGCAGCACAGCTAAAGCTAACCTGAAATGTCTCTGCGTAACTTAAAGTCAGCAGACATTGCAAACCACTGCTCAAGATTAACCTGCTCCTGTACCCCTTCCAAAACTGCATTTGCCGTCATTTAGTGGTGATCCCACTCAATGGCTTCCTTTTCATGATGCCTTTTGTTCTCTCATTCATACGAATGTGAATTTGTCGGATAGACAAAAATTGCATTACTTACGAAACTGTTTGAAGGAAGATGCATTGGATTTGGTAAGTCGCTTAGCGGTATGTGATAGCACCTACGCTGAAGCATGTACTTATTGACTGCGAGGTACAAGGTCATGAGAATCATAGTGGACAGCCACATCAAAACACTCATGTTAAATTCCATACTTCAGTACGTCGGTGCTCTACGTGCGCTCGAACGACCAGTCGAATTTTGGGATGACTGGCTCATTCACCTAACCGTTTCATAGTTAGCAAACGAAACCCGTCAGCAATGGGAGTTATCGCTTGTCATGGACAATCTACCATCTTTCTCAGCTCTTCGAGAATTTCCTTAAAACCGAGCAGGCGCATTGGTACGTGTATAAATTGTCGAAGCAAAGGGCATCCTCACTAGTTGCCATAGCACATCTTCGTATCGTATATGTGAACGACGTCACCATACTTAACTTCACGCAAGCTTTACCGATCAACCCGCAAACTCCGATGCTCCTTCAAATGGACTACTTTTTAATGTTACCGCATACTATGCCGACGCTGATCGCGCCATTCTACCAACAACCGCTGAAATTATGGTAAAATAATATACCGGTAATTCGTCACCGAGGCGTGTTTCCAACGCCTTTGCCTACCCAGAACGCCTTTATCCATTCATGGCACTGGGATGGGGTTACTGCAAGGAGGTTGTGTGAGAAGTGGTTGGGGAAATGAACACTTCTCATAACACCCAGAACGAGTGATGCTAAATTTCAAGTAAGTACGCTCATCTTTCCGAAAATTACTAACGATCTTCCAACCTCCGCCTTACCGAAGCTATGAAGTCAACATCTGGGAATTCATTAAATGAACTCATGGTAGGCCCACAGCTTCATCAGTATCTATTTCCTGTTTTGGTTCGCCTTCGCACTCATCGTTTTGGAATCAAAGCCGATATCGAGAAGATGTACCGCCAGGTTTATGTCGCCAAAGAGGACACCGATTATCAACGCATAGTCTGGCGCTCGAATCCATCAGATCCAGTACCTGATTATCGCCTTTTGAGAGTCACGTACGAAGTTGCTTCAGCATTGCATCTTGCCGTAAAGTCACTGCATCGAGAAGCACTTTATGCGTCAAACGCTAACAAAGAGGTCAGAGAAGTTATAAAATCAGTATTTTATATGAATGACTTACTAACTGATGCTGATACCTTTTATGAACTCGCTTTACTTCAACAAAACCGTTTCCTGCGCACTATCTGAAAACGGGTTCAAAATGAGGAACCAACTCTCAAAGGCTTAGAGATATGATACCGCCTGCATCTAAACAAATTTCGCATCTCTTAGCTGATGGAGATCAAATCCGCACTCTTGGTACAATATGGCACACAAACCATGATTGGCTTTCTATAGCAGTGAATTCTGACGACTTGCCTAATAAATTTACAAAGCGAACGTTTCTTTCCGATTCGAGCAAGGTATTCGATCCAATGGGTTTGATTGCACCTTGTACGATTCGTTTTAAAGTTTTATTACAAAAAATTTTTTGGAAAAAAAACCCAAAAACATAAGTACTAATATATGCACATATATGAATAAATACATACTAACAGCGGTTAAATAAAATTACAACAACGGGAGCAAAATCAATTGAACTACAAAACTAGCACAGAAAATCACTAAAAATTCAATCAGCATATGATAATATGATCGATAAATATCTTGACCTCAATCATATGTAAATAGAAACCACAAACCATTTGAAACAGTAAACTGAAGTTTGATAAATTATTGTTTCTTTCTGAATTGTGTTGTACCAGAGAACTTAGAAGAACGAGAAGGTGCAGGTTCGACAGCGAACATTTGTAAAATTTTATCAAGGAGTTCACCTCACAGGCAGGAGAAACAAATACATTTCTCGCTTTTATAACAGCGGTGAATCTGTACACATACCTATAGCTCTCTTAACATGCGCATCTGCGAATATTAAAGAGAATATAATAAATATGTATGTCAAACAGGGAATATTGATATGCAATTTCAAATATATTCCCTTTATTGAACTATTAATATTTAAATTATTTTATGTTAATTAATTTTTACTTTATTATGAGTTTTTAGTAATAATTTAAAAGTATTTTGATATATTTCTTAAAATAATGAATGTACTTGACATCATTATGGAGTCACACAAGTACATAATTGCGTTTTGCCGTCGGCATTTTCATATCATATGTACATGTACGTCATCACGTTTTTTGTTTTAATGTCAAAAGGTCCATCAATCGAAGGACTGACGCCACGACAAAGTGTCACAACATTGTGTTGTTGGTGGAAAATTCGATATGTGCCGAAAA